AAAAAAGTTCAGGTTTTCTTTCCAGACCCCACTAGCATCCCTGATACATGTTCTCCTCCCACACAGACAACATCGATCATCACGCTCTCATTCACACTTCCTATTTAAGTAGCTGGTCTTTCCTCAGGTATTCACACACATCATCCACGGATTCACTGACAAAAGATTTCCACACTGATGCGCTGAGAACAACTGATGCGCGGAGGAATAATATACATGAATAGAATTCCATAATTGTGTGCTCTTGTGCCAAGCATAATAATACCACTTCGGCAAACATTCAGTCTATGTGATTAGACATAAAGCGCACCTTTTCTCTGCGTTTGTCGTGGATGTAGAAAACATTATAATAGCAATAAGGATAATACTAAATATAATTAAAAACAAAACAGAGTTCCTTATTTACATCCTATAGGCGTAATTACAACTTTTTACATGTATGATTTCTATGTATTAAATCTACAGAGATCCTAAATAATTATTACTTTTTACTATTCTGTACAAATCAAGAAATGGAATTTATCGTTTCAATCAATTTTACTTGCACCAACATTATAGAGTTAAGGTTTTAGTGGCGAATTTTTGTCCCAATATCGTCCCCGATGTCGAATTTTTTCTTGCCTTCTTTGCCGTTAATCTTGGCATATATGCTGCCATTGAAATACCACGCACTTTCGCATTCTGGATGGTCATTCAGCAATTTAAGTAGTTCCTTATTTTCTTTTGTAACATCGTCTGCTAGCCTCAGGGCTCTGTCGGACCTTTTTAGCTCACCCCTTTTGCGCATGATACGGGATTTTATCTCTGTGTTTTTTAACTTTAAGATGATCGGCCTGGGTTCCCCTGGTTTGCCGGGAATCCTGTGCACCGCCACAATATCATCGCCTTTCACCTCTTCCTGTATCTTATCTTTTAATGTTTTAGTTACTAGGGCAGAAGTTGTCTGATCGCCCGATTCAGACTCCGGGATGCCATATATTTTTACATTGTTTTTTCGGCTGTATTGTTCGTTATGGTTGGCTTTTATCATTGCCGTCGAAGCTACCTTGGCAGCGAATTAGACTGCGAATCCATGCATGGTCAAATTAGGCCAATAATAAAGGCAATAAGCACCTCTCCTATTCTTTTCATCCCCGTATATAGCAGAGAACAGTGACTATGAGTACCCGGGGGACAAAGTCAAAATATTTCAGTGCAAATACTAAAGAGTCTAAGCAAACAAAGGGGGCAAAAACGTCCAATAAAAATAGCAAGGAAGAAACAATAGAACGCAATGACTCCCCTGAAATTATGCAGGCACCCAAAAGGCCACATTGTGAAATCTCAAACACCAGCGGTGAACTCTCTTTTGTCAGCGGTGATGAATCGGTATCCCTCATGACGAAACTGGAGGAGATTGAATATGAAATAAAGCAAACCGTTAAGAAGGAGGACCTTAGTGAAATTATCAAAACAGTTGTGAGCGAAACAGTCAAAGAAATGAATGCGAAGTTACAGGACCTGGAAATAAAAATTGATGAAATCAGAGAAAGTAGTAAAATAGAAAATGAGGAAAATAAAAGGAAAATAGGAGTTCTACAAGACAAAGTTGACGGGCTAGAGCTGAAGAATCATAATTTGAGACAAACATTACGAGAAAATGACCAACGCATCGACAAAATGAACAGAGCGATGAAAGAGGGGGCGTGAGCTCTGAGAAAACCATCGGCAACAGACAGAAAGTCTGTATACTTTGCCACCGAATTTGTTAAAAATGCACTATGAACTGTGGAAGAAGAAGCTGAGAAAGAGTTTAGGACTCAAAGTTTTCTGCGCGGGTCTTTTTGAAAGTTTTTTCTTTACTCGTTGATCGGGACACCACGATACGAGAGAGGTGAGTGTTAGGCCTACTAAGAACTTATAAAAATATTCAGTTACTAAAGGATTGCGTCGAACATTCCGGACAGTGAATGGAACAGATACACCTGTTCTAATATTGCTTTGTACTCCTGTCTTAAACCACTGACAGTAAATCAGAACACACACTAAAAAGAGATTTTGTATTCTATAAGAAAGCTAGCAAATATGTCTAGCACCTTTACTAAATTTCTGTTGTGTTCATGTCTTTCAGACATGTGGGAATGTAATATAGTCTTG